AGAGCCCGGGATGGAGCGGGGCGGACGGAGGGGCCCTGGACGAGCAGGGACACAGGAGCCCAGGCTCCGCGGGGCAGCGCTCTGAGCCCTGGTGCTCCCTGGAGCTCCTTTCCTGAGACCCCTCGCCTGTCCTGCCTCCTCAGCCACGCCTGCTCTCAGGCCCTGTTGGAAACACTCCCTCCTGGAGCTCTGCGCGCCCGAGCTGTCCCCCGTCTGCCCGGGACATGTTTGGCCCTCTCTCCTCCGGCCTGCTCTGAGCGCCTCCTCGTGCCTGGTCTTTGTGTCCACTGTGCTTCTGGACCCATTCAGTGGCCCCCTCGGACACGCTCTGCTCCTCTCCTTTGCGCTTCCCTGCTCCAGTCCACGCCTCTGGGTGTGCTTTAGACTCTGTTGTTTTTGTCCTTCAGCGTTGGCGGTTTCTAGAACGCTGCTGTGGTGATGGGCAGTGCCCCCGGCCTGGGCCACTGCAGCTGCTAAGCAGCATAGAGCTGCTGTTATCAGTGACACACGCAAAGCGAGTGGACAAGAGGAACAAGTAGCAGAGCCAAAAGGAAAGGTGGAAGGCCCGCATGACCACAAACACAGACCTGTGGCCCCGAAGGCGGGGCCCTTGCTGGGTGTGGCCTGGTTACGGCTCTTACCGACCACCCAGGGATGCAGTGGGCAGAATGGAAGCCACCTCTGGACCAAGGCGGCCACAGGGCCTTTGCCAGGAGCTACAAGGTGGTTTTGTCTACAAACAGAACAGCACAGGCCAGGACCTGGACTGCCTAATTTTAGTTTAATTTAACTTGGTTTTCTGTGATGCACCTGTGTGTTGACACAACCTGCTTTTCTGTATTAGGGGGGAGCCCAGGAAGTCTCCCCCATCTGCCCCAACAGTGTCCCCTCCCCCACCCAGGTGGAGGGCAGGGTAGGGGCAGCAGGCACCAGGCGGCCTCACCCCGTGCCCTTCCAGGTGGCAGTGTGGCTCCGTCCCGTTCGCGGTCAATGCGTCCTATGTGAACCTTTGACTCCTGAGTGGAAACTTCCCTTTGCGTCAAAAGCAAACACCAAAGCAGGAGGGGGCAGTTTTGCCTTTCTTGTGGCCTTAATTGGAATTCATTTCCCATATGCAATTTTAGCTCTGGTTTTGAGATAGGTTTGTTTTTTTAAAACAATTTCTGAAAGTAACTTCTCTGTAATTTGCTCAGAATTTGTTTAGGGGACGTGGCAGGTAGGGAGCATGTTGCACCTTAAATCAAATAGCTTTCGAACATCTCATCAAGTGATGATGCAGTTCCCCCCGTTACACACTGATGTCATCCGTTACACTGGGCCGTTCCTCAGCCTTCCCTTTTCTCCCCGAATGGGTTGTATTGAGTCACAAGATTCGCTGTTCTTGTAATTTACTGCAGGATTAAATTTAGGGTTAGGCTTTACGCTATTCCTGGTGCTTGTAGGATCGTAAAAGTCTTACATCATTGGCTGGGTTTAATTTACTCACTCTCTAGCACAGAGAATGGGTCCAGGAGAAGGTTTTGTCCACACACAGAACAGCTCCAGGTCACTGTGGCTCACCTCGTCATCCTCCTGGTTAGAAAGCCTGCTGCCGTGTTTTGAGGGTGTGATGTGGACAATGTTTCATTGCCTAAGAAAGTAGAGAGTGCAGTAGTTTTTCCTTACTCTTAATCTATAGCCTGTCTGCGTCTGCGTCTGCGTCTGTGGATGACAGCTTGCTCCTCCTTCCTGTTCTGCGTCGCACCTGCCTTCTCTCTTCCTTTCACCGCACCTGTCCGTCCTCTAGGGAATCCCACCCCTCTTCATACAATCCCGGAAGCCTCCGGTCATCAGAACGAGGCCTGACCTTTGACTTTGTGCCGTTTAAATTATGACAGCTTCGTGACATGTTCAGTATCAGATCAGTATCTGATCGTGTTAGGTCCTCCCTGTCGTGCTGGTGTTGTCCGAGGACAGTGTGACCCCCTCTCTTACTGACTGCTTTGCCCTTGTTGCTTGTCATTTGTATGCGTCTTTTTGATGTGGCCTTTATTCTTCTGACGCTCCTAGCTCTGCCTCACGGCAGATTCTGGGTTTACTTTATCCTGGGGATTATTTTACACTCGATGTGCTCAGATCCATAGCTGTTTTTCTGCAGGAAGGGGTTCTTGGCTAATATTTTTTAAGGTGTATCCTGCTAGGTTATTTCTGTTTTCCAGAAATCTGTAATTAAAGCTCATTTACATCCTCTTTCCCTCTCTCTTCTGGAGAACATTTATGTATCCTTCTGAAAAAGTAAAACATGCAACCACACCAAGATCCAGAAATCAGAAAAGTTTGAAACATAAAGATGGTGACCGTGTTAATGAGCTCCCACGTACCTGCCATCCGCCTCCGGGGTTTTGTGGTGTGTGTCCTTTCGTGTTTCCGGTTATGCTTTCATTTCTATGAATTTTATTCCTCCGCTTCTCTCCTGAGCTCTGTCAGTCTGTGTTTTATCTTTCTGGTTGTTTTACTTTTTCTTCCCTGTATTCGTGCACCTTGTGCAAAGATTTTAATGGAGGCAGTTGATATTAAACATTTTAAAATTCATTATTTATTGGATCATAGTTTTCAACTGTTGAATGGTAATGTTTTTAGTTTATATCCTCTATTGGTTCATCCTCTTTCCTCCCCTTCCTTTGTGTCTTTGTGTGGCATTTCTTTCTGGTGGGACTGAGTTGTTTCCACACCAACTATGTGCAAGAGCCGCGTGTTGAAGAGAAGCCGGGGCCACGGGCTGGGCAGCGCGGATCTTCCCACAGGTCCACGTGTGTGTGTGTGCACGCATTTGTTCTCTTCTCACGCTGTTACATCCCATCTTAATGTGGAGGAGTCGTGTACCACTTAACCGTTACCTCTGTAAACGAACCCATAATTAATAGCGGATGTTTGTGGGCTTCCGGTTCTACTTTGCTTCTTCCATGTCTTAGAACACCTTGGGGTCCGTGGTCCCAGTTGCTTCCTGGGGATTCTATTTCCACTGTCAAAAGCAGGATCAGGCTCTGCATTTAGGTTATACTCATTTTGGGGAAATTCTTTGTTTTTTTCTTATGAATTTCTTTATTTTTAAGAAATATGCTGACATTTTTGAACACCACTGACAGCCAAGATGTTCTTTCTCGGTTGCTGTCTTCTTGCCCTATTTTTTCTAACTTTGATTGTCCTTTGCCTAATTTTGTGGTTAAAGTGTTCTGCGATGTGCTCTTGTCCTTGTTCCTGTATGCTTCTGGATTACTTCTGAGATGAGAAAGGGGGATGCCTGTGTCCGACAGTGGTAAAGCCCGTCTAAGTGTTCCTCCCGCTTGGTTTCGTCCGTATTTGATTTAAATGATTTCACTCATGTAAATAAGAGAAATGTAAGACATTTCTCTAAATTGTCACTAGTGGATGGACGTTCCTTTGGTTTGTTTATAAGCATTTTATTATTATAGTCAGATTCTAGGAGGTAACTTTGAGTTGCTATTTTTGACATTTGAATTTATCAACCAAACATTTCTCTCCTGATTTTTGGACACTTCTTAATAAGTAAAACATGGGATTATACCAACATCCAAAAATCAGAGAAGCTTTAAACATAAAAAGGTGGTGAATATCGTAGTGAACCCTCCGTGTACCCATCGGCACCCCCTTCACCACCCACCCCTCGGCCCCCTCCTCCTGTTCCTCTTCTTTTTAAACAGTACTGAGGATTGAACCCAGGCTGCTTTCACAGAGCTGCATCCAGTGCTTTTTTGTCTTTAGTTTTTAAATTTTGAGAGAGGCTCTCAATAAGGTGTGTTAAGTTGCGCAGGCTGGACTTGAACTTGTCCCGCTCTTGCTTCAGGCTGGGGTCCTAGCTCTATCACACTCCTGGATTCCTGTCCCCCTCTCAATGAATTAGTATTTTTCCAGTCTTGTTTCATCTCTTACTGCCCGTTATTTTGTTTAAGTACCATAAGGCAAATTTCAGATATTCCATTTTACTACAGATAAGACCTATCAATCAAAGCAAAGCAGAAAGTAAAGTCCCAAACCTTTGTCACCATACCATTGCTACATCTAATGTAATGAACAGTATCACTGTGATGTCCTGTGGTACCTATTCTGTATTTTACTGTGTGACTCAAAAATTACAGTTTTAACTGTCTGAATCAAGAGTAAAACAATATCTTCATATTTATTTCATTATTTGAATCAAGCTCAGAACATCATCCTGTTGCTTAGTGTATCTTCTCATATTAATCTTACCTCTTTGTTTTTTCACCCCATGTTTTCTCTGAAGGCATAGTATACATGGTAAGATCTTCCAGATTCTGGGTTTGCCTAACTGTTTCAACATTTGGTGTTTCAGCCTATTTCTCTAGTCCCTGTATTTTCTACAAACTTACCCCAAGGCACATGGAGTTGACTTTAGCCAGGTTCACTGTCTGTTAATAATGTTAGAGGGATGTATCTTGAGCTGAAAATTATCACTCAGGTATTGACATTTTACTGAATGAACACTTTGTAGGTTGGTAGCTGGATGATTATTCTGTCATTCCTTTTGTTTTGTTTGTTTGTTTGTTTGTTTTTCCGGTACCGGGAATCAGACTCACAACCTTTCGCTTGCCAGGCGAGCGCTGTGCTGCTGAGCTAAATCCCCAGCCCCCTCTGTCATTCCTTTTGTAATGAATTGTTGAAGGGAAGATTACAGCAATGGGCAGTTTTAATGGATTTGCTAATGTTTCCTGCTGAATTTTTAAATTAAGTAGCAGTGGAGAAGAAAATACACTAGTATCCATAGAGTTTCAGATAACTTTTCAAGAAAATGAACTACCAAGTACCATTGGCCTTTGGAAAAAAAAAGTCAATATGAACTTTTGAAGAGATTATTCATGTTTGTTAAAAATACATCTGACGTAACCTGTGTAGCCTTCCACATAAGCTCTGCACTGCCATGTGTGCACGTTACCTCGCGACTTTGGGATGCATTCACAAGCTCTTCTGCTTTCCCTTTCCAGATTACTCAGCGTGATGTGCTGTGGCCTGGACACGCTTCTCCTCCTGGAGACGCAGTACCAGGTGTCCAGAGTGCTGCTGCGGGCTCAGGAGGACAATGTCTCGGAGACCTCCGCAAGCCACGGGTGGGTGGGCGGCGCGTGGACGCCAGAGTAACACGTTCTTAGCAGAGACTTCTCAGAGAGTAGTTTCTGTGCAGCTCCTTTTCTTATTGTCTGAATTCAGTAGATTTAAACAGCAGTAAAAAGTAATGAAAGCAAAAATGTCACAGAAAGATGAGGACATTTTGGAGAGGGCTTGCAGAGTACCACTTTTGAAGTTTTTGTGGCTGTGTTCTTATTTCTGGTTCAGGTTAAGCCATAACTTCATTAATGATTCTGTGCAGTTACATCACGTTTACATCCACCCTGTGCAGTGACCAACCGGGTAAAATGTTTGATTTCACATCCCTTTTAGAGGGACTCTTTTCTCCACTCTTAATTATTGTAGCCCATAGCTATAAATTCTGATTATTTGAAAAACGTTGTGATACTATCTTGACAGCTTTTCTCTTAATAAGTCACACTTACCGTTACCTCAGACTGACATTTATCAAGTACGCGGTCATTAGCTGGCCTTGCAGGGCAGGTCTTGGGAACCTGCACAGTGTATTACTTGGCACTGTAGGTTGGACGTGGAGGAAAACGGCTAACAGATCCACAAAGTGTAGGGGCTGCTGGTCGGCAGCATTTAGGCTTTAAATTCAAGGCACTGGGCCTAGACCGTGAGAAAACCTTGACTTAATACATAGTGAGGTCACTGTAGAAATAACACGAGCTTTAATCCCCATTTCTTTAAAGTACCGTTAGGCTTATCGAGGAAATATTGTCCTGTCAGTGCCACTAATCGTACATCAATTACATCTCCATCAGTTTATCCCCTCTCCCGCTGAGCGGGCTGTACAGTACAAAGTCAGTTTAGCCCTTTTGTGTGCTTTATGAAAGCCCTGTGAAGTAGTCTGTTTTCCAGACTTTTCCGCTTTTCCCCGTTACAAGCCAGTGACGTGATTTTAAAGTCAAGTGACATCCAGTGAAGGAGTTAATAAAATTGCTATGTTTAATTTTTTCAGGGGTTTCATAATTGACGGCTTATCGGTAGAGAGGAACCACGTTCTTGTAAGAATGAATCTTATCGGGGGGCCGTCGGAGCGGACTTTGCCTCCGAGGACGCTTGAGGAGGTGAGCTCAGTAAAGAGTAGGGCGGGGTTTACCTGACAGCGGGGAGCAAGGCAGCCAGTTCGAGGGGTGCTGCGCTGCACCTTCCAGACGTTCTCCTCACACAGCTGATCTTCTGTTTCGGTCGCACTTCAGGACGCAGCTCAGTGCCCTCAACCAGGACAGCACTGCGGTGCGGGGGGCTGAGTGCTGCGCACGTAGCCGAGGAGGGTGGTGTTTTATTAAGAACTCGTCATCTTCCTGTTCTCTGTGATTATTCCACTTCCAGTCTCTTTCTCTTTCCCGATTCTTAACTTCTGTTAGGCCTGTTTTATGTCTCTTTGGCAGTACAGCGCCTTTTACCATCAGTATGTGCTTAGCATTGGTTTCTCATGGAGGGGTTTGGTGTGTGTTATTTAGAGCACTCTTGACTTACTGTTATTCTGGGAAAAGTGAGATAGAAATGATTGACAAGGAAGACAGTTTTAGGGGAAGAAAATACAGGTTTCTTTTGATGCCTGTACTTTTTCTTTCATAAAAAATAGTTAAGCCATCACTGCTGATCCTAACAACATGTTCTCATGTGTCTGTCTTCAGTGCCTAATGCGTGGCTTTTTTTGTTTTTTTTTTTACATTTTTTTAAAGTTATTTTCTTTTGACATTGTGAGATGTAGTATCAAATAACTTTTGGTTAGTTGAGCAATAACTCTAGAACTTACAAGGAAAAATCCAACTGAAATTAATGGTATTTCAGCACGCTAAAGTTCAGTATTGTTATAAACCACTTCCTAAACTGATCTGCTTGCTTCGTTTTTAGGGTGATAATCCATATCCATGGCCAATGTTTTCGTCATATCCTTTGCCACACTGCTATCTCTCCAAAGCGACAAGAAATTCTGATACAAAACAAGGTAAAACATTACCACCAAATCCCATGTTATTTTTAATTCTTTTATTATATTTCAAAACAATAATATGTTAAGCTAAATGTCAATTTTTATTCAGCATTGTAACATGGATTCACTTATGCTTATTTCTTTAGAATTTATAATTTTTCCCTTTTCCTACTAATGAGGCTCAGTAATTCCAACTTTTTCGTGGCTAAGGTGATGAATCTTTAGTAGCAGAAACTGTTTGGTTTTAAAAAGTAACTAGTGTTTTTTGATTTGTTGAGTTCTAGGGATGTAAAAACATTGCTTATTCAACAGGTTGGTATTTCTGATAACTGCTGCGTGCCACATATAAATTCTACAGACTTGAGACCTGGATGGTGAAGAGCAGTGTGGGGCACACCCGTGTGGGACCAGCATCTTTCAGATGAGAATGCTTTCGAGTGACTGACAGTCACCTGCTAGGAGGGCAGACAAGCGAGGCCCCGCCAGGGAGAGTTGCGTGTACACTACCAGGAGTCGCAAAGCCGAGCAGGGTTTTCTGGCTAATGTACCTGTCTGAAGGGACATGGCCAAGGAAGCAGGTTCAGTTCAGAGAGCCGTGAGTGTTGAAGGGCTGTGGAGCCGCAAGTGCGAGCAGGCAGAGGTTGGATTGAACCTCGAGCCAGCTCGAGCCAGCTCGAGCCTGAGAGCAGCATGGCTTGTGCCCAGGAGCTTTGACTGCAGCCTCCCAGCTTGGGAAATGCAGATGTGTTCAGGTTGGAGAACGCTAAGGCGAGATGCGAACGTCCTGTTTATCAGTAGCCTCTCGTTAGGATAAGTTAGTTCTTACATCCACATGCGTTCCTTTGTGACGCTGTCGTGCTTGCACTGGAAAATGGTAAGATTCATCTCCCATCACTTACGCCACTGCACCTCCCTCTCATGTGTCCACTGTTCTTCAGAGCTGGGCCCTGGGCAGCACCAGAGATAGCCTGGTACAGGGAGAGTTGGGTCATTCTCTCTGTCTTCGTTACTTTTCTCTCATTGCTGAGACAAAATACCCAACACCCA